ATACTGCTGGGCGCTCGCTGGTATCGAGGTCTGCGGTCATGATCCATTATAGCTCCGCAATTAATGTGATTCACTCATCTTGGAACTCTCATTTGGAATTCATATTCCATCATTCCATTGAAGTTACTAAATCCTTTGTCCTTTACAACTGTCTTTTGATCTCGTTTACAATTTCAAGTCAACTCTTGTTGTTTTATGAACAACTTGAAAGTTAATGTGTTTGACACATTTCCTTTTCCACTACTCAACCCAACACTTTTCGCACTTTATAATCTCGGGATGAGATTTCTTTAAGGGGGAAGGATTGTAACATCCCTGATGTTATAAAGTACTTAAGAAGGTGATCATGTCATCATTATGCATAATCATCATGCATCAACTCATGAATGCATTTCATGTTTATATTATAGCATGCCAATGATTATGCAAACTTTGTTATGCATTCACTAAAACAAGTTTACTTTCATGTTATATGTGTTGACTTGTATGGAGTGAATCAATTTCAAAACAATTGTGTTGATTTGGATTTCCGAAAACCCTAATTCTCAGCGTTTAATTCTACCCTGGAAAACCCATTTCAAAATCTAAGCACATTTTGGGGTTGAGCCTAAAAGCAAAAGTGTAGAGCTTGTCAAGATGTACAAAGTTGGTTTTTGGAGTTTTCAAAGTTGTTTTATAAAAATTGAAGTAATTTGAAAAGGCGTAAATTCTCAAAGTGTCCCCTTTTGAATTTAAATTTTCATTTCAAAATGTAGACCGAATTTGGGTATGGTTATAAAAGCAAAGTTGTAGAACTTTGAATTTTGAACAACTTTTATTTTTGGAGATTTTTGAGTTGCCACATAAATTTGGGAGTAATTTTGGTTTCAAATCGAGTGACAATTTTGTTATTGTGGTGAACAGTGACCACGGAAGCCACCTCACCGCCGACGATCTTCTTCTGGCTTCCAGGCGCGCTCGTGGCCCTCTTCGGCTCCGCGCTGGCATGGAGAAGGCCGCGGCGTGGCTTCTTCTTGCTTCCTGGCGCCTTTAAAGCCCTGGTGCCATCGCCATTCTCCTCTTTCTCCTCCTCTGTTTTTCCCGTCGCCATTGTCGTTGCTCCGTCGTGCTGGTGCCATCGTCGTAGTGCCTTTCCATTCGCAGCAAAGCGTGCCATAGTTCCACCTACTCCTTGTGAACCCAGTTCACCGTGCCTTGTTGCCTGATTTCGCCGAGGACCGCCGCTCGTTGCTTTTCTTCTTCGCGGCCGGCAGCGTCGCCGTTGCGTGCGCTTCACCATGGTCGTCGTTCTACGGTGAGCCGATGCTCTTGCGAAGGGTTGTTCTAGCTTCACCTTGTCGCCATGATGCTTTGTGCCTTATTGCTTGATCCTTTTGTCCACCGCAGCCACCGAAACATCACCGTCATCGTAGCTTGCTCCGCCGTGGTTGTTGTGAACGTCGACCTGATTCATCATTGCTCTTCCGGTCCTACTCTTTCCTCAATCGTGTTCGGGGTGAGCTGCTGAACCTTCCCATGCAATTTGTTTAAGCTCTACCGGTCTCACGTTGCCGACGTAGTGCAGCCGCGTCGTCGTGGCCGCCATGGCTGGTGTCTTGCTCGATCTAGGCCGTTTTGGGTCTCGCTTGTGCCACCAATCGACGCGTAGGGATGTAGGGGACGTGGTGATACCTTGGCCGTCGCCGGTGATCTCGTCGTCGGCGAGAAATCGCCGGTTAGCGCGGGTAGTCGTCGTGGTCAGCGTAGGAGGTCGGGGATGACAGGTGGGGTCGCGTTGTCTGTGACTCTGTATTTGAAAATGAATTTTCTATTTTTCAGTAATGGATGAATAGTGTATGTTTTTGTTATTTTTGTATATAATTAATTAGAGCTCCAAAAATTATGAAAATTTTTGTGTGACCTCTCTGTGATGTATACTATTTAAGAAAAATATGAACTGTTGATTTTTAATACTTTTTGAATGTGATAAAAATTGCTCAATTAATTAATAAATAAGTTTACATGATTTTTCTAGGCTTAAATAATTATCCAACATTTATGAAAATTGTTTTGCCACTTAGTTATCATGTGATGAACCTTTACAAAAATTTTAAACTCATTTAGAGAAAGTTGATTTATTTCATATTTTTAATTAAATGATTAATTCATAAAAGCAAAGAGTAACCTTTAATGACTTAGGTTTTGTTTGAATTTTGGATTGAGTGATGACCTTGGGTCATTAGCATATAATGATCCTTGGCACTTATGTAAGTGTTTGGTTTATGAAAAGGTTTAGTAAGTGTTGGTTTGCAACTGTACCGCGAAAGAAAGTTATATTCAAGTTATTAACTTTTGCATCCATCGTAAAGCATCATGGTTCATATATTGCATCATATTAAGCATGGCATTGTTACTTCGTGTAGTGAACGAAATCGAGAACGTGGTAGTCAATCAAGTGGTTGAGGAGGTTAATCCGTCTGTTGAGGTCGGATTTGAGATCGGTGGAACGTCTCCGTAACCTGACTTTTCCGTTAATCAAGGCAAGCCCCGAATGCATTTAAACCTACCTTGTGTTTTACAAATTGATATCGCTTTGGCTGTTCTATACTGCATTAAGTGATTAGGAATTGAGTGAAAACCTAATTGGTGCATTACCAACCTTGTTTTTCTATATCTACCTTGATACCAGTTTTAATTCATAAATAGCTAGTTATGCTTAGTTATGCTTAAATAGATAAAGGTCGAATGATTACCTGTCACCTGCGAGATTTAAATGGATCTTTGGTTACGTTTGGTTACTTACGTTATCATGAGATATGGGCATGTGGAGTAATAAATCTAGACCGGGCGGACTCGGTGTGTGAGAGCCACAAGACATAGAGGTCTTGTGAGTGGGTTCTTTCCGTCTGTGTCGATTAAGGTCCGTCCGTTGTTGAATTGCATGAGGTAAGACTTTGTAGTACTAACCACATACTCCGGTAAGCCTTAACTTGGCTATTCTACTACGAGAATGGCTACTCGCGCACTGGGAGTGGAGAGATAACGAGAATAGCGTGTACCCACGTGGCAATGGGCTGGATTGGTGAGTACTGTATTCTCGGGGTGGCGCGGATCCGTTCTTGTTTTAGGGGATCTAAGGGTAGATTGAAATATGTAGGTCGGGGACCTGCATATGTCGTGTGGTCTGGAATCCCCAGCTGGGTTTAATCGGTTCGAATCGTCGTTGCTCCTCGGTTATGGAGACTCAACTCACTGTTCATCATCGTAGTTAATAAATGAAACTTGAGCTGGATTTAAGAAAGAGTTTGATATGAAGTTCATGGTCTCATTACGGATCATGACAGATTCATATATGGTTCTTATGAAGTTTTAAATGTTGAAATAAAGAATCTTGTTAAAGAACTTTTACGTAAAAAGAACTTTGATTATTGCTAAAGCCTTACCTTGAATCCCTGAGCCTGCATTCCTGTGTTCTATCAGTTTTATTTCGGTTAAGTCTTGTTGAGTACTTTTGTACTCAGGGTTCGTCGACCCTTGTTGCAGGTGAGCCTCATGAGCAGGTCTGTTTTGGACCGTGCTGCATGACTGTTGTTCAATGTGATGACGATAAGTAAATGCGTGGCCCTTGGGCAGGGCAATCTATTTGTGTGTTTGTATTATGTTATAATATCACTCCACTGCTACGTTTTGTAATAATTATCGAACTTAGTTGTAAGGTGGAAACTACTGTTTTGTAAACTAAGTTATTGTAAGACTTTCGCTGATTTACTCTGGTGTAGATATTTGAATAAATGTTGTAATACTGCAATGACTCTGTAATGTGATCCTGCTCAGAAATCGTGGATGATTCGGGGTTGTCCGAGGACACCCGACAGTCTTGTTAAGTTATCGGGAACATATGCATAGATGTCAAAGGTCGTTGGACAGTGACAGGTGCATATGGGTCCTATAATTTAGGAGGTTCTGCCACAGCAAGGGAGTGCAAGAGTCTAGTAAGGTAATTGAGACTTGATAATCGCAATATTAAGGACCTCATTAGTGCAAAAAAAGTAACAGATGTGCATCCACTCTTCTCATCGCTGTGTTCCTATACCCCTCTTTATTTTTAATATTTACTTTTGAGTAATTCAATTTATGTTTTTATATTCATAGAATTAACATGCTAGAGTAGTATTGGAACCTAAGGTATAAAATTTTTATGTGGTAGAACAATAGATAATACTTCTAGGCGCAAGGAATAAAATGGCTAAGCGGTAGGACCGAATTGTTACGAGAAAATTTAGATTAGTCTAATTCAACTTCCCTCTAAGACATCTAAGCCAAATGCGGGGCAAGGGCAGTGGATAACGACATGCGGCTGCAAATAACTTAGCGAGCCGAGACCCAAGTCCAATTCTGTGGACATACTGGAGGTAGGCAGTCAACATCGAAAGCAAATGGTTTCACTACAAGCTCGAGTCTCCGTGGTGAGAAGTGGCATTCTGTCGGTTTATCCCCTTTCTCATCCCCTTCTTGATCCAATCCGGATCCCCCAAGCTTCCTTCTAATCAAAGATTCAAAGCTACTCAAACCGTCTCCTGTCCTTTCTTCAAATTCTTCAATCGTCGTCACCTGGGCCTTGTTTAAATTCAGTTTTTTCACTCTCTCTTCATCACATCAAATTTTTGACACATGCATGGAGTATTAAATGTAGATAAAAAAATAACTAATTACATAGTTTGATTGTAAATTACGAGACGAATCTTTTAAGTCTAGTTAGACCATGATTAAACAATAATTATTAAATACAAATGAAAAGTGCTACATTATCGAATACTAATTCCTAACCGCGAACTAAACGAGACCCTGTTTGCTAATCTCCCTCCCTCTTTCCTCGCGCCGATCCCTTGCTCCCAATCAATTACTCCATCGCCCGATTCTGATTCACCGTTACTCTGCTCTGTGATGCTTTATTTGGTCGATGAAACCCCAAGATTCTCCTTCCTCGACTCTCTCGCTCGCTTCCTGCTCCCTCTCCCGCCATGGATAGCAACCGATCCACCATACCGGACCCTCCACCCATCGATCCCAAGCTGCCAGACCCCCCCGATCCAACTCCACATCACCAGACAATCACCTCGAACCACTCAACGATACCCCCTGAAGCGGATCTGGTGAGGTTGCTTGGAACTTTGCAACTCTCGTCACGTTCAATAGAAACATCCAGTCGCCAAGCTGAGGATGAAAGCTATGGCCAGGGAGGAGACGGCGGCGTCCTCTACGTCGGCCTCGCCGACGCGCGTCGCGGGCCAAGAACAGGGGGCCACCACCAGCGGCGGCTCTGGGTCAAGAATTGGTCTCGCACATGGTGGGACCGGTGCAACAGCACTGACTTTTTGGAGGAGGAGTTCCGGCATGCCTTCAGGAAGGGGCGGGAGATGTTCGTCATGATCTGCGATGCCCTGGGCTCCTCGGTGGCCAAGGAAGACACCATGCTGCGCGCCGCCATCCCGGTCCATCACTGTGTCGCCATCTGCATCTGCCGCATGGTCACGGGGGAGCTGCTCCTCCTATGGTCCGACAAGGCCGCGGTGGCACGATTCGAGGAGAGCTTCGAGGGCAGCTCAGCCGTTGCAGGCGTCGACTTCGCTCTGGAGCTCGCAGCTGGGTCCAGGGGCCCCTTGCAAGTGACGAACCTCGTAGCGGCAATCCTGAATGGATGCCTGCAGCTACTAACACAGAGACTACGCCTGGTCCAGACCACGCCTTCCTCTTCGTCAGTGAGGATGGCAGGATCTTCGTATCAAACACCATACATCTGACCAATGATCCAGCTCAAGCTGAAGGCCGACAGCATGGTGGAATACCGCCTATGGCTGCTACTGTACGTCCCCAAGGCAATCCAGAAGCTACTACTCAGGCTCCGGCCCCAGCCTCCAAGGCGCCACGGGGGCCATGAGTCTATTGGTTTGGAACTGCCAAGGCTCAGGCAGGAGCCTTTGTAGTTCCAAAATGACTCACCTAGCCCGCCTGCTTAGCTCAACTAAAGCACAGGTATGCTTCATCTCCGAAACTAGAAACTCCTCCATTACAAGAACTGCGCTTATGAATCGTTTCAATGCTTTTGATGCATTTCTAGTTCCAGCGCGAGGACAGTCTGGTGGCCTTTGGCTTATCTGGAACGATGAAGTAGATATCACTGTAATAGACCACAGTCACCACTACATCATAGTTATGTGCATAAATAAACAAAACATGAAACAATTGGGCCTAATCTGCATATATGGTGATCCCCATCACCGATCCACTGATGAAATATGGAGTCAAATTCATCATTTCGTTGTACATAATCAAAATTTCCTTGTCTTTTGTATGGGGGATATGAACAATATCATGCATGTTAATGAGAAACTAGGACCTCGTCGGGCTGATGTTAGAAGTATTCATACTTTCTGTGCTTATGTCAAACAATGTGGTTTCATTGATCTGGGTTATAGCGGTCCTGCATACACTTGGACTAATAAACGTTTTGCTACTAATCCAACTCATGAAAGGCTTGACCGCTGTCTAGGAAATGCAGAATGGTGTGTGGCTTTCCCGTCAACAATGATCTACCACCTCCCGATGCTTCGTAGTGATCATGCTCCTATTCTTGTTGTTCTTAATTCTAATCATTTTCAAACTAATCGACCGTTTCGTTTTGAGAATTGGTAGCTCAGGGAACAGGGCTACCACACGGTTGCCCGCCAAAGTTGGCAGCGCTCTGTTACTAGAACTTTTATCCAAAAAACCAAATTCCTGGCCTCTGATCTTCGCAAATGGAGAAAAAGCAAACCTAGAATTCCTGATCAACTCGCTGCAATTGAGACCCAGCTTCTTCAGCATCAATCCAAGCCTCCCAACCAACAAGATCACTCTCTGCAAAACCACCTTACCCCGCAGCACCACGACCTCCTTGCCAAAGATAAGATTTACCACCTACAAAGAGCTAAAAAAGATTGGGCTGCTAATGGAGACCGCAATACTACTTTCTTCCACCATTCCATAATTAAAAGGAATAGGAGGAACCGCATTACCTACCTCCACAATCCAGATGCCTCTCTATCCACCACTCCTGACCAGTTAGCCAACACCCTCATTCACTACTTCCAATCCATCTTCACTTCTCAAAGCCAGCCACCCAATCAACCCACCAGTACCCAACAGCCCCCTCCCTCCCCTATTACTTTCCCTAGCCATGCATCCAATACTAGTTACAACCATCACAGTCCTGCCCGTGATGAGACTGTTGCCTCTCCAATAGGTTCTCTGGACTCCCCGGCTTGGGACACTTACAATAACTCCATTCCAGATATGCAGGAATTATATGAAATTGTCAAACAGATGAGGAACAATGCCAGCCCGGGACCCGATGGACTCAATGCAGCCTTCTACAAATTGGCGTGGCCCTGGATCAAGCAGGACGTCAGTAAACTGGTAACAGATTTCTACTCCTCTGGACAATTCAATGATGACATCAATAAAACTTATATTACCCTCATTCCTAAAAAAGACCAACCTCAGACTCCCCAGGATTTTAGACCCATCAGTCTTTGTAACGTCATCTACAAAATTATAGCTAAGTCTCTAGCTAATAGGATAAAGCCTCACCTTCCTACCACAATTAATCATACCAGGCGGCTTTCGTTACTGATAGGCATATCTCTTCTAATGTCATCATCACTCAGGAAATAATTCACTCTTTCAACTTAAAAAACTGGAATCACAAAGCTTTTCTTTTAAAATTAGACCTAGCTATAGCTTTTGACTGGCTAGAGTGGGGTTTCATAGAGTCCGCCCTTCGACGTCAAGGGTATCATGGTCATTTCATTAACCTCATCCATGCATGCATTTCCTCACCGTCTTTTGCTGTTCTGGTTGATGGTCAACCTTCTGCCACCTTCAGCTCTCAACGTGGTATTCGTCAAGGCTGTCTCCTATTGCCGTATCTTTTTGTTATAGCAATTAATGAACTGTCTATTCTTTTGCAATCTGAACTGCAGAACAGGAATCTCTCAGGCATCAGCCTGGAGCCCAGCTGTCCACCCATCCACTCTCCCCTATTTGCCGATGATTTGATCCTCTGTGGTCAAGCCTCTGTTGGTGAGGCTTCCACTCTTAATTCCATCTTCCATCATTTCTCGCAGCTATCAGGCCAAATACCTAATTTCCATAAATCTTCCATCCTTTTTAGCAAGAATGTTGACAGTGCCACTAGGTCCCAAATTAAAAGCATTTTTCCTGTTCCGGACCTACTTCCTAATACTATGCACCTTGGCCACCCCATGATCTTTAGTCACAGGGATAGGAATAAAGCTTATGACTTCATTATCAACAAGTTCCGTTCCAAATTCACCACTGTTAAAGCCAACAAGCTTAACCATGCTGGCAAACTCACCCACATCAAGTTGGTTCTTTCCTCTATTCGTGTCTACTACATGTCCACTGTTCTTTTCTCCAAATCTTTTGTTGAAAAGATCAATGCTATCATTCGGAAGTTTTGGTGGGCTGGAATCCAAGATGATAACCCTACCAATCCTATTGCCTTCCGCTCCTGGGAAGATATCTATCAATCCAAAGAGAATGGGGGGCTCGGAATCAGAGACCTTTACACTGTCAACAAAAGTCTGATCACTCATGCTGCCTGGAACATTGCCACTAACAAAAATCATTTCCTCACCAGCATCAATAAAGCCAAATATTTCCACTCCACCTCGTTTTGGACGGCCAGAGCTGATGGGCCTCGCTCTATCTTCTGGTCTTGTATCCTTCAGATTAAAAATGACCTTGTCCAGAATGTGATCTATCAAATTCATAATGGCAACACCTCTATTTGGTCCTCTCCTTGCTGTCAAATGTAGAACACCATTCATGACCACCTTGTCTTGCCTGTCACCCACTCTCCTTGGTCTCTGATCTATGGTTCCCTAATACTCATACTTGGAACCTGGATCTCCTTTTCACCATCTTTGATCCTCAAGCTGTTCAAATTATTTCCCAACTCATGACGGTGGACAGCCAGCATCAGGATATCCTTCGTTGGACTCCGGCAAGAAAAGGCAACTGTACTACTAAAAATATTTACAGATTTCTAAGTTCACAGGCTCAGGTCCAGCTTCCATTGACAGGATCAAGGAGCATCCAGCATCAGGCTAACCAGATCCTTCAACGTATGTGGAAGCTGAAAAACCTACCTCCACTTATCAAGACTTTCACCTGGAGACTTATTCGTAGAGCTCTTGCCACTGGGGGACGAGGAGCAAGATATTCAACCCATATTGACGAGCATTGCAGCACCTGTGGTCTAATTGAAACTGATGCGCATTTATTTTTTCACTGTGATTTTGCCCGTGCAGTTTGGTTTTCAGCCACTCCGCCTCTACGAACTGACACTACCAAATGAGGATGATGGCGTCCAGGTTATTCTTTCGGTTCTTATTACTGATTCAACGGAAAACTCCTTAATGCAAAAAATACTCATAACTATGTGGTACATATGGAAAGCCCAAAATGATCAAAGATTTGGCAGGAAAACATGGAATACTTGGCAGGTACACCATGCTGTGACGGCTTATATCAACACAGCAAACTCAGCTAACTCCACAGCGGATGAACAGGACTATGCAACACAGGAAGCATTGCACAACCCTGAAGCTGTGACATCCTCAAGTATTGACGCCTCCAGTGCAGGAATCAACAATCAAATGACAGGTATAACTCCTTTACATGCAGATCACAGTACAGGCAGCAACATCAGGATGTCTACAGATGAACAAGGGCAAAACACTACCGATGCTGCACCGTCAGGTATGACCTCCTTTATTGCAGGACATAATATTACAGTGACGAACCCGGTGTACAGGATCAGGGAGAACTTGGTGGACAGATTCACGGTTCAAATTCCCAGGACTACTGCAAGGTGTTAGATGATACACTGATGCATCGACAACACCTGATCTTCCATCACAGCCGCCCAGAGCTACGGGTATTGGCCTCTTCATTATCAATACTCAGGTTCACCCGGCGCAAACCATCTACATCAAAGCGAAGATGTCAGGTGCTACATCAGTGTTGATGGCAGAGGCCGCTGCAATTGCCCTTGCTGCAATTGTCGCTGATCACCTCAATTTACAGCACATAAATTTCCTCTCAGATAACCAGTAGCTTGTGTATTTTCTTAATGCCTTGGACCAAGCAAACCCACCGGATTGGAGGATAAAGCACTTTACTCAAGTGTTCACTAACTACACAAGGCAAGGTCACAAAAGGATTTTGAAGATACAAAGATCCCAGAACCAAACAACTGACACTTCAGCTAGGCAAGCCCTTTCACAATCTTAGCCAGCTTCTCTTGACTTGGCTTGTAACTGCTCTAATAGAGCTCATGTAACTCAGTGCCCGTTACAGGTTGCACTTATGTCTGTAGCCTTGAACTCTATAAGGCTGTTATCAGCTTCATGCTGCTGCAATAAAACTGTTAGTTGTCAAAAAAAAAAAAAAATCTGTGGCCATCGGGCATACAGGTGCAAATCGAGAGTTGTCGCGCAAGTGCATACACAGATGGTCAAATTTTGTGTAGGCCTTTCATATGTGAATACAGGCACCTTGGTAGGAGGTCACGTGCTAGTGCCTAATGGCGTACAAAAAGTGTGCGTGCACTCTTTTTTTTATTCACCCTACATGCAAATTCTATAATCGACAGAGTTCACATAGATTGCAGCGTGCAAGCCATGCCTAGTTCCCGCAAGCACATTTTTTCGGCTGGGATTCACTTATGTTGACCGGTCAAAAAATTCATAATTTGATGAAAATTCAAAAGTCGGGGCCAGTTTACAACTTGGGGCAGGATGAAAATTCGAAATAGGCCAAAACTTTTTGGCCGTTTGATTGCCTCAGGCCGAACCAAAATGAAAAGAATCCACTGTAATTCAGGCCAAATCCCAGAACCCTGCCAAGAACCAGTTCTGTGGAACTCTATCACTGTAGCACCAGACTTGTGTAGCACGATAGAGCTGGAGGCGCCAAAACATGGCTTCACCGGCTTTGCTTCCACAGTTCATTTTACCCAGGGCAGAGAAGTCCTCTATGTTACAGTACTGCACAGTGCTGATACAGTACCTGTTAGAGGGAGATGGCCAAACGAGCCCTCAGAACTGCCTGAACGGATGTAGAACGATGCTGCTGCCCCAATGTAATTAAGATGTAATTACGAAGGTGATGATATTCAAATCACCGACATGGTGAAAAGGAAAAACACCAGCATCGGCATAAAGACATGAACACCGGTGGGAATATATCATTTAATAACAGTCAAAGCTTCACGTGAAAGCATGTGAACCACTGTATATAAAGACCAATCTAGCTCTAAGTACAACTTAGGCCCCGTTTGGCAGACCTTCTCTAGCGGCTTCAGGAGCCGTTCGGAGCCGTTTTCTGCCAAACGGGGTAAAATAAAATGGCTCCACCGATGAAGCCCCTAAAAACGTGCTCTCACAGAGCTTTGGAGTGGGAATGAGCCAAAAATAGTGGCTTCTCTCGGCTTCACCTCATTCTACATGTCGTTCTCTGAGAGCATATTTTAAGAAAAACTATATGTAAAGCTGTTTTACCAAACGATTTATTAAAACGGTTACAGCTCCACCCATAGAGCTGTTCATGGAGCTGAAGCCCAAAAAAGGGCTTCATGGGTGAAGTGGAGCTGTGCCAAACGGGGCCTTAATCCACTGAACTCCAAACAAATAACCTATGCAGACCCGCAGATGTAAATAATAAATATAATGAAACAAAACTAACACTTCTGTAACTACATGTAAAGAAACTGCCAGCAGCGTTCACCCCTTAGGTTAAGTTAGAGCACTCCATAATATTCCTCAACACAAAGCAAACTATACTAACAAAGAACACATGCATATACTAGCGGCTAGCTTTAATAAGTCACTACGTTTTCTATCTATATAAGTGCACACCCATATTAAGTATGCTTAAATTCCAATTCCAATTACTAAAACAATGGTTTAAATTTCTACAAGTTCATCTAACAGTACTTTCTAATACAGAAAACTGAGCATATTGAACTTCAGTGGATCTTTTAAATGCTGACGATCTCTTGAGCACACATCTAGAATTGATCTTCTGGAAGCTTCTCTAGCAAACAGCAGCATTGGTGATTTTCTATCTTCCATATGGATGGTAACGACCAGCAGCACCACTGCCACTAGTGCTACCATAGCCGGTCCTAGCACCATAGAGTCCACCGGTGCCAAACCCAGCACCAGTATTAGCCCCTGAAGAATCATAACTAGGACCATAGCTAGAACCACCATAGCCCCCGGCATCACGCCCATATGCACCAGCTAATCCACCAGCATAACTGCCACCACCATATCCGCCACCAAAGCTGCCTCCGTAAGTGCTACCATAGCGACTAGAATAAAGGGAAGGCTCTCCAAGGTATCCTACTAATGCTCCACCATAAGTAGCATAGCCGCTACCATAATCACCAGGACCATAAGCACTATTGTAACCTCCAGGCCTAGCGCCAAAACTTCCAGGTGATCTATAAGGACCAAAACTACCACCATAATTGTAAGAGCTGCCAAATCCATCATAACTGTCTGCATATGGACGGCCCCTAGGTTCGCTATCAAGTGAACGAGGTGGTTGGTTAGAGGGTTTCTTTGGTTCTGCCTTCTTGATCTCCACCTACAGCAAAGCAAGAAAGTCAAACCTATATTTCTTTCAAATTTGTTTACTTCCAAGATTGGAGAATAACCTGCCACTCATATAAGAGCAAAACTAAAGCAACTGAAACAAAAAGGCCCAATAAGATGTGCTCTATAGACTTAACTAGAATACCGCAATTTGTTACTGTGTGAAGTCTTGACCGCAGGAAATAAGATTTACAAAGCTCAGAAAAAGCTACATAATGCCTCACCTGAGAACCATTTATATCAATCATATTGCCTTTCTTAGCTAATAAATCATCTACCGCTTTTTCTGCATCAAAGACTATAAAACCAAATCCACGTGACCGGTTAGTTGTATGGTCACGGATGATTTCATGCTGCACAACCTTTCCAAACTTGGAAAAGAATTCCATGAATTCATCTGTCAATTCAAATTATGTCACCAAAATCAATTTACTATGCAGGACAAAAAAACACATTTGCTACTGTGCAGCCAAGGAAACACAAATATACCTTCTTTTAGAGCTGAGGGTAATCCACCAACAAAAATCTTCTTCGTCTTGAAATCTTTCAAGGGAGCAGCTCCCTTAGGGATCGTTCTCTTAATTTCAACCTGCATTTTAAGAGTAAATGAGATTTCAAACTGCACACAGAAGTGCTTCTTATGTTTACTATATCTTTTTTTACTATATGTTTTCATGAAACAGGATGTACTGTGAGCTAATACAGAGTGAGACAAAGATATAAACCAAAGACAAAACCGAAAAGTTTACCAGCTTTCCATTGATAACATGCTCATCCTCAATCACTCTGTCAACAACAGCGGGATCAGCAAAAGTAATAAAGCCAAAGCCTCTGGGCTTTTGAGTGTAGCGGTCCTTCATTATGACAGCATCAATTATAGCCCCATACTTCCCGAAATGTTCTTTGAATGTACCTGAAAAGTCACGAAGTAAAGCAGTTGGTTGTTGAAGGTCCCAGAATAAACCTTGCAGGTAAAGGCAATCTAAATATCTTCCATGAAAATTATTATGACCTTTTACTTGAACTTTCAGAAAATAAATGTCACAAAATCAGTACAGCTCCAAACTAGTTAGCTAGTTTACTAAACAATCATGCCACAGGCCCAATTAACCAGCTCACAACATAAACAAAGGTATATATCCTAAAAATCCATCATAATAAGCAGGAAGAAACATTTGAAGTATACGTTTTGTCCCTGAATGTTACAGTATTTTGCTTTGAGAACTTCTCTTCTAGATACCATTGATGTAAAGCGATTGTGTTTAGCCATAATTTAAAAGATAAGTTGCCATAAAATACTATTAGCAATGGGGATAAAACCACCATAGATTGTCAGGCATCAGGCCATTTCCCAAGAACATGGAAATATAATAATATAATGTATTATTGTACCTCACAAATTTAATGAAAGGATCAACTCCACCTATAATTCGAACTCAACAACGTGAGACTGTAAGAAAATTAGCAAAATAAATAATTACCAAGTTAAGAAATCATCAACAAACAAGAAATCAAGGGCTAACTCCTCTCCCGACTCAACAAAACAGAAAAAGGCATAACTCAGTGCTCCCAAATCAAGTTAGACATGCTTCCTTAGTAAGGGTAGTCACATGCTAAGCATACACTGAGACACGAAATTAACTACAATTAACTAATCAACACTGGATCGAGTAAACTAGCGTGCACAAAAGATGATGAACAGCCATTACAACCAACGAGCGACCAGATCTGAGGGAATACGAGGAAACCCTAGCTAATACAAGGAGAAGACGGCAGAAAAAATTGAAATCCGCTAACAGCCAAATCTGGAGGGGATCCGCACGTACTCATGCTTGTGTCCTTGGAGAGCCCGCCGATGAAGATCTTACTGCACGAAGCCCAAAAGCATAGCAAAAAGAATCAGCGAAAACCGTTCCCATGGTTCGGAAAACAACTCAATGGCCATACTACGCGAGGGGAAAGGACTCACGCAGGGCTGGCGCCGTCTAACTCCTTCATCTTGCCGGCCATCTCGCAGGAGATCGGAGCTAGGCAAGGGATGGGTTTCAAGTGCGGAGAGAAGACGGGTGCCGTCGACTTCGAATGAGGGCTACGCGAAGACGCGAGATCGGAGCTAGGCAAGGGATGGGTTTCAAGTGCGGAGAGAAGACGGGTGCCGTCGACTTCGAATGAGGGCTACGCGAAGACGCGAGATCGGAGCTAGGCAAGGGATGGGTTTCAAGTGCGGAGAGAAGACGGGTACAAAACATGTTTGTGTACTGATGTGCCATCCCTGAGGATTATTAACCAGCTTTTGTTTTTTCAAAAACCAAAAGGCAACTGAGGCCCTGTTTCGTTCATCTATGGCTTTTAGAAGAGCTACGGTAAGCTGTGGACGGTAGATAAGCAGCTATGCAAAAGCAGCTGTAGAAAAAGAGAAGATAGTTTGGTTGAACAGCCGTGGCTTTCGTACGCTCTCACTTATGGACTCGCAATAAATATTTATATGTTTATATGCAACCATAAAACACTTGTTTTCACTTATTCACATGTAAATAAATTATTTTTGAAAGAAAAAAATTACTTTTTTGAGAACCATAAAATTTTATAACATATATATGGTTCATGTACTTTCACTAAAAAATAGGCAATTTGTATGTATACTCTCCCTTCTCCACCATCTACTTCCTTCTGTGTTAGAAAATCTATACCCTGTTCGCTTGATCGTTTATATGGTTTATAAGCTGGCTGATGTTGTTTTATTGTAAGAGGAAAACAATGTATCGTGTCTGATAAGCATGGCTGATACGATCAAACGAACAGAGTCTTGGTCTCCACTATCTTGTGTATGTATACTCTCTCTTCTCCACCATCTACGATAAAGTAGACAATCACGTGCAGCATCTCGTTGTCGTTGGCAGATGGAGCACGTGGCGTTGTCCTCAACGGCCCTGCTGGAGAGCGCGATGGCCAAGACACGGACGGCGAGGGGTTCCTCTGCTCCGCGCGATGAGCTGCCGCCACACTTGCCAGATCTAGGGCAGCCACGACGCCGTGAGCCAGCGTAGTAGCAGCAGAGCTCCACCCGGTGTCCGGCGAGCGAGCAGCAGCAGAGCTTGATGCCTTCACCTCATCAACTCCTTCGACACCATCGAGTTGGGGCCGAACCAGAGCTGAGGATTCAAAAGTCAATGTTGATTTAGGCTAAAATTTAATATTGCTCTGCTACAAAACTCAAAGCAGCTTTCCTCCTACTTTTAGCTGCTTGTAGGGTAAAAACCTACCCACTTGCAACTGGTTATGAAAGATAACGGTTTGTTTTTTCTCTTCTTTTCTTTCCCGTCTTCGACCTTTTCCCGTCCGCAAGATCTCAACGCTCCTTCCCTCTCCCTCTGTGAGGGGGTTCTCCCATACCGATTGGAATGACACAGGCTTCATCCTCCAACCAACCTAAGCTGCTCCCAACTGACACGAATCCTTCAGGAGGGCGCCGTCCGCACCTCTTCAGGATCTTTGTGTGGTTGAGTGGCATATGGCAATCCAAGTAATAAACTAACACATGACCAATAGATAATACATTGTTACTACAATAATGATTAAAGATCCAAAAACCTTTCACAAATAGATTATAGCGAAGTACAAAAGTTTGATCTGAAGTCTATTCCCATCTATGGTTAATATCTTGAGGTCGCTCATATATGAATATCATATCGGAGTTAACTTGTAGCTCATCTTGGAATCGCCTATTCCAAGGTCTACTATGCAGCGGTGAATAGAGCACTGGCTCGAATCGACCGGAATGAGATTACTTGCAAAACAACTTAACGGCAGTACCATGAGTACATTTCATACTCGCAAGACTTAATTCCAACATATAGATATTTGGTGGATGCACGGGTATTATCAGGCATTTGTAAATTTGCAGAAAAGCATGGCGTTTATTAAAGGGATGGCATGCTCATGGTTCAAAATTTAATTAATCAGCAAGTATAGATTCATAACGAGCAGCAATGAGTAAAATAATTAAAAGGGTCAACATTGTATTCCATCATCAACACTAACATGGGTATAGAAAGTAGGAACAACCAAAAGGTTCCGTCCCAAGGGACTTCAGGCTTTCAAACTCTGTAGAGGTGTATAAATTGTACCCACACGAAGAACGAGACGAACCACCATACCTGTAACACCCCAGGTGTTTGGCTTCCACAATTGCACTTGCATTTCATAAACATGAGCATCATTCATCCATTTATGAGTTCATATTGCATGAAACATGCTCTTGAAACATTGTAGCATATGGTCATATATCATGTATGTTTGTTTATGAAATGAATAGGGTGCAACACTCAAGTGCAACATATACAACACACTTTAGTGAAACATGGTTAGTTAGTACTATGCAACAAGATCATGAAACATGTGAAACATGACTATGAAACAATTGTAACATTTCATGTGTTTTTCATTGTTTCAGTACATACCTTGCTTGATTCTTGTGTGACCAATGTATGGTGTGGCTAAATATCCTTCTAAGAACCTTAGTCATACTTAGAATGTCATTAGGAACAATGTTCATATTCATCATTTTGCCTAATTAGGTTTCCAAGTCATGGTTGACCAAATTGGACCCCTAGAGCTCCTGTGTTTGACTGTTTAAAAAGTGTAGCTTAGGATGTTTGCATGTCTGAGCAACCTAAAGCAAAGTTGTAGAGAATTATATGTGGAACAAAAGTTCTTTTATGACCATCTCATGAAAATGTGCACAACATGTTCAAAAAGGTCCCACAAGTCAGAATTAGGGCTGTATTCAAAACTCTGAAAAATTTCTAAGTCATAGTTGCAGTTACTGTTTGTTGGAGCCGACTTTGGCTTGATGTAACTCGTGATACTTTGCGATTTAGCTGAAGGTTTCTATATAACAATTGTAGACCTATCATAGCTCTGAAACTTTGATTTAGGGATGTTTTACAAACTCGCCACTGATTTTGAGTTTGAACGCGTTGAAAACTCGCTGTCAGTCGGTTCATTGGGTTACTCAATTAAAAATTTCAGCTGGCAGTGGCCGACGGCCGCGCCACGCGCCTTGCTCGCCCTGACCACGCCGCACGCTGGCTGGCTTGAAGTGGAGCGTGCCCTGCTGCCCTCCGCACGCGCTCTGCCATTCCATTTCTGCCATTCCATCAATCTTTCTTGTGCGGCTAATGCGGTGCAAGCAAAGGCTATTGCAGATATCCCTGTAGTGTGTGACTTTCTGGATGTTTTTCCCGATGATTTGCCTGGATTACCCCCGGATCGAGAAGTGGAGTTCAAGATAGAGTTGCTTCCTGGCACAGCTCCTATCTCTAGAAGGCCATATAGAATGCTTCCCAATGAACTAGCTGAACTTAAGACCCAGTTGAATGAACTTCTAAAGAAAGGCCTTATTCGTCCTAGTTCATCTCCATGGGGGTGCCCAGCTATCTTTGTGAAGAAGAAGGATCAATCCCTACGCATGTGTGTAGATTATAGACCCTTGAATGCAGTTACAATCAAGAATAAGTACCCTCTGCCACGCATAGATATCTTATTTGATCAGTTATCCAAAGCAAAAGTCTTTTCCAAGATTGATTTGAGATCTGGGTATCATCAAATCAAGATTCGGCCCAAGGATGTTCCAAAAACCGCATTCTCTACCAGATACGGTCTGTATGAGTATCTTGTTATGTCTTTTGGATTGACTAATGCCCCCGCACATTTTATGTATCTGATGAATTCAGTGTTTATGCCCGAGTTGGACAAATTTGTGGTGGTATTTATAGATGATATCCTGGTCTATTCTGAGAATGAAGAAGATCACGTTGAACATTTGCGGGTGGTTCTCACTAGATTGCGAGAACACCAGCTGTATGCAAAGTTCAGCAAATGTGAATTTTGGCTTCGCGAGGTACCTTTTCTTGGACACGTGTTGTCCGAGGGTGGAATTATGGTTGATCCCACCAAGGTGCAAGAGGTGTTGAACTAGAAGGCTCCAATCTCGGTGCATGAGGTTCGGAGTTTTCTGGGGTTGGCTGGCTATTATCGTCGCTTCATCCCGGATTTCTCTAAAATAGCCAAGCCTATGACTCGGTTGCTGCAAAAAGACATGAAGTTTGTCTGGACTCCTGAGTGTGATGCGGCTTTCCATACCCTACGAACTCTTCTAACTTTGGCTCCAGTTTTGGCACAACCGGATATCGAGAAACCTTTTGATGTGTTCTGCGATGCATCAGGTATTGGGCTAGGAGGTGTTCTTATGCAAGAGGGTAGAGTCATTGCTTATACCTCTCGCCAACTTCGGAAGCATGAAGTGAATTATCCAACGCATGACTTAGAACTCGCTGCCGTTGTTCATGCCTTGAAGGCCTGGAGACATTATTTACTTGGCAATGTGTGCAACATCTACACTGATCATAAAAGTCTCAAGTACATCTTCACTCAACCTGAGTTGAATATGCATCAGAGAAGATGACTCGAGTTGATCAAGGATTATAACCTCCAAGTGCACTATCACCCTGGCAAGGCTAATGTCGTAGCGGATGCCTTTAAGCAGGAAGTCTCATTGCCACTCTTTGATGGAGAGTGATGTCCATTTGTCAAAGCTCCTTCATCCTGCAGTCCTTCACAACATCACTGTCAGTTGTACTCTACAGAGTCGAATTATCGAGCTACAGAAGACGGATGTAGGTGTGTTTCACATCAAGCGCAAGATGAAAGAGCAAGAAACCAAACATTTTCGAGTTGATGAGGAAGGCGTGTTATGGTTCAAGGATAGGTTGGTAGTTAGAAGGATAGAGAGCTTAGAAATCAAATCATATCCAAGCTCATTCCTCTAAATTATCTATTCATCCCGGTAGTAGCAAAATGTATCATGATTTGAAGCCTCGATTTTGGTGGACCAAAATGAAGAAAGAGATCGCCGCTTATGTGGCTAGGTGTGACACTTGTTGTCGAGTCAAAATTTGCGCACATGAAAGTTGGATTACTTCACCACTCTCTCGATTCAAGGTTGGAAA